CACGTAGAAGCGGCTCAGAAGGGAAATCGGTCTGTAATTCTTCAAGAGAGCGTTGTCATCTTTCCTAAAGAACAAGACTATCGCACTTTTGCTCCACGCCTCGGGTGTAATGCCACCATGGAGGACGGAATTAAAAAGCTTCTGAAGGACTTCAAGTACCGGTTTTCCACCCGCTTTCAGAAGCTCCGCTGTAATTCCATCCTGGCCTGGGGCCTTACCGTTTTTAAGGTGCTGGAGAGCCATTCTAATCTCGCTCAGACTGACATCCGGGATATCTTCGGAATAGTGTCGGATGAGACTCGCTCTTGGATCGTTACTCACACTTGCGTGTGGCTCCAACGATGATGTGTACAGCTGCCCATAGAACCTCTCAATCTCACTCAAAATCTCAGGTGTCCCGGAAACGATGCTGCCACATTCTGTCTTCAGCTTTGACAGTTGGCTCTTTCTGGCAGACAGATCTCTGGCAAAGACTTTGGAGCCTTGGTTCCGCTCGATCGCTTCTTCAATACGAGCTGTATTGAAGTTGCGTAAGTCCCGCCGCATGCATTTGGAGATCTGTCTGTTCAGATGCCTGTATGCTGTCAAGTCTGTTGAAGAATGTAGCTTCATCTCCCGTCTAACAGCCATGAGATTAAGAGTGTGATCGGAGAGTTTTTGTGTTCTTCTGCGGCGGGTCTTGCAGAACTTAGCTCCGACCGCATGGACAGTTTCCACGAGCTTGTCATTCATATCGTCCACTTCATTGCAGTCTTCCAGGCACTGAAAACGGTTTTGTAACTCGAGCTGAAAGGTTTCGGGACTTTGGAACAGAGCACGAGGGGGACGGAGCGTTGACTTCATTAGACGAGACCTCTCCAACTTAACGTTTAGGTTCAGTGTGCCTCTAACCATTCGGTGATCGCTACCAGTTTTCACCCTCGCGATCACGGAGACATCACTGAACAGTTGTCGTCTGGTCGTCATAATGAAGTCAATCTCATTTTTTGTGGAACCGTCGGGGCTCGACCAGGTCCACTTCCTGTGGGGCCGCTTCTGGAAGAAAGAGTTCATCATAAAGAGTCCCTCTTTCTCCATAAAGTCGGCCAGCTGCTGGCCCCTTGGGTTCCGTTGCCCTATTCCAAATTTCCCTACTTTCAGCTCACCGTTCTCTCTTGTGCCTAGTTTTGCATTGAAGTCTCCCATTAACACCGTATATTGGGTTTTGGAGGAATGCATGGCTCTAGAGATATCCTCATACATTTCCTCCACCTCCTGATCGGGGTGTGCCGAGGTTGGTGCGTAAACCTGTATGACCTTCAGCGAATACCGTTTGGTGATTCTGAGTATAAGGTACGCAACCCTTGTCGACACACTCCCGATCTTTACAACGTTGTTAACGAGAGACTTGTGGACGATAAATCCGACACCTCCTTGGGACAGATGGTCGCCCTCCCGGTGATAGAGCAAGTTGCCGGATTCGAGGATTACCGTGTCCTCCCCCTCTCTTCGGACTTCGAATAATCCTATAATATGCCAGCGTAACTCGTTTATCTCTTCTTCCAGCTCCACGATCTTCTCGTCAGTCCTCAGGGTGCGTGCGTTGTATGTTGCCCGGTCGAGTCGTCTTAGGTGGCAACCGAACCTCCACCGGAGATTCTTAGCCCCCGCTGCCCCGCCGTTACCATGGTCGCCACCGTAGCCAGGAATAGCGGGGCCGCCGGGGACTGGGGGCCGTTTCTTTGTTACTGTCATTCATAGGGGGGTATTTGCCATAGTTGCCACGCTTGGCGAGCGGGTTGGCAACCGCAGTTTTTTTATTGTAATTTGGCTACTATCAGGAAGATGCTGCTGCCCATCTCCTGCCTGTTTCCCTTTGTCGCCTTTTACGACACCCACGGGAGGATATGGGGAATAATTATTATTACATATTAAATTATGCATTTGTATCTTTAAATTATGTCTTAAATTACTTTCTTGTGGCAATCCCTGTATATAAGGCAGTGTGAACAAGACAATTTTGTGTACATTTAAGTTATTAAGTTGTTCAATATATCTTAATAACTGTTTGTTGTTGACACTGCCTCTTCTACCAACAAAAATTATTATTGTACTATTTGGGCAAAATTTAGTAACAATAATTTTATTTAAGATGTCACTAAAAGATGCTCCAGGCATGCAGCAATTTGTAACTTTTTGTCCCTTTAAAGAGTTATTTAAAGTTATGCCTAGATTTTTTCCCATGTCATCGCTATAAACAATTATATTATTTTTAGTAATATTTGAGTTATTTATTATTTTAATATCCTCTGCTATGGCACTGTCATAGAGTTTTTGTGGTGGTATAATATTATCAGCACACACTGACTTTGAAGAATCTGGCATTGAGCGCTGACACTCACATTGATATTTAACTAAGGAGTCAAACCGCTCCTCCTTATATTTACAAGTCTTTACCAGATTATCCATAGCCAATATGTGTTCTTTTATTTCATTTTGGGCTGATTTATATTTATTGGACACAGTTTGAAGGGAGTTCATAAGTGACAATATTTCTGATTTAAGGCACTCTATTTCAGTCTCATAACATTTTTTTATGTTATCCACCTCAATTGAATACAACTTAAGTTCATATAACAATGCTTGCTTTTCTTTACAAACATTAACATAATTTTTGGTATTAATCTTATTTCTTATTAATTTTTGTACTTTCCTTATGTATTTATTGACTTTTATATACTTCTTCAATTTGGTTTTACTGCAATTAATCCTTACTGTATTTCCTGAAGTGGAAGAGTCGTCACCAGTCAAGTCTATTGTTGCAGATTGCTGTAACATTCTTGAAGCATCACATTGCACAAGCTCAGAGAACAGGCTTTGAGTCTGGGAGGCTTTAAGGTTATCTATATATGTTTTAAATTGTGTTATTTGCTCATTAGCCTCATTCAACTGTAACTTCAATGCAGCAATTAACCTGAGAGCTTCCTCATATTCCTTGCTGCATTGATCAAACTCATTAACCGTTCCCTGTAGCTGATCTCTTTCTTTTATAACACTTGTGTATTCTGTATGTAGCTTAACCATATCACATTTCAATTGTGTATTTTTGGCAATTATGCTAACTATTTCCCTTTCATTATCATCCCTTTCCTTAAGCAACAGTTCACACTGCTCCCTGGACGCCTTAAGTTCTTGGAGCGCAAGCTGGAGTTGGTTCTCCATCTGGCGCGTCTTGGCGTTGCGAGTATTCATTTTACTATTTATTACAAATAATAAAAGAAAACAAAGATCGAAAACAGAAGGAGCAGAGTAAGCTAATGTAAAGTTGTTGTTTTTTTTTTCTATTTACAAGTCTCAAATCAAATTATCGTTAAAACAATTCGAAAAGAAACCCGCAAAGAATGTAATAACCCGAGTAATAGAATAAATCTTTAATTTATAAAAGGAATGATATGAAATAAGGATTACAATAATTTTTAAAACAATGTTCGTTACCTGTCACTTTTTGTTCCAACACCAAATTGTTGTTATAATATTTATGTACCAACTTTCTTAAACATTAAATACAAAGCGGCAGTAATTATTAGCTACAACATAAAATTGAGGTGGATATGGTGAATTTACACTATTTAAATTATTAAAATTTATCGGGACCAATTACTTTTACAACTTATAACCCTTATAATTCATTGAAGATGTAGAGCTTAGCAGTGAACTATAGCCATAGCAGCGATCACAGTAGATCTTACAGATGGCAGTGATACCTGTATTTCTAAACTAGCTGCTTGCACAAAAAATGGTATAGTTGATATTATACCATATATACAAATTATTATACCCATATTATTAATAATGAAATGTAGGAATTCATTTATTTGCTTTTAGACCACTAAAAACTGCATTTTATACTAAGGTATTATTAGAGTGAAATTTCAAAATAGCGGAAAGCTCTAAATCAAACACGTCATCTTTACCCACGTCAAAAATAGCAAATATTACTTACTTTAATAACTGAAATGAAAAATCTGATAACGTCGAGGTTACGAAATTTCAAGGTAAGAAAAATTATACAAAAAGGTAAAGGTTTATCGCCGTTATAAATAGACTTGTTTTTAACTGCCATATTGGTCTAGTGGCCGTAAGCGCGACTGTTGATTATGAGACCACAGGTTTGAATCCCAGGTCAAGCAAAAATTTGCTTTTGCTGTTTTTGGCAATAAATTCTCAGTAGATGCCCGGAGTCAGGAAGTTGGTGGCGTTTCACCCCCGTGCCTCGGAAACCACGTAAAGCCGTTGGTCCTGCACCTGATGTCTCTCACGTCGTGTCGGACCGGAATTCTTGTGTGATGTTTTTAACTTTTGGCCTATTTCTCATAAATAGTAATGGGTGAATCTATTCCAGGTGACTTTTTACCATGAAAAAAAAAATAGGTGTGCACAGAAGCCTCAAGCTATTTAAAATTATAATATTAAAAGTAAACTTAAAAATTATAAAAGAATAAATAAACCAATTAAAGCAATGAATTTCAAATCTTGTACTCCCTACTTTGCGCGTGGCATGTGACGCCCTTGACATTAATCCGGCCGCTAGTTAAGTTAACTTTAATACGTAGTTTTTATAAACAGGCCAATTTAGTGAAAAGTCAATGAAAAATAATAAATTTAAAAAATATATAACATAGGCTTCTAATTGGTTCACCTAGTACATCTTCTTGTTACTTTCATTTAAAAATGTCAACCCGTGTATAATTTGTTTCTCATTTTATTCTTAAAAATGTTGCACTAGGATTTTCTGGTGTATTGTAGAGGCAGTTTACAAACATAAATTGCACAATAACGAATATCCAGACTTGGAACAATTATATGTGGGCATACAAATACTTGTTCTGTGCGAGAAACGAACCCGCGGTCCCCTGCGCTGCATTGCTAAGTCACTGCGCCACGGATGAGTCAAGGTCTTCTTTTCGTGTTTATGTAGATATTCCTTTAGTTGATATATAGCACAGCATTAGTGCCATGGCATGGATTTGTATATGCAGGAAGTAGAAAAGCGACGCAATACGACGGATGCGTTGCGACGAGTTACGATACGACGGGATGCGATGCTACGGGACGCTATGCAACGGTATGCGATGTGTCGGGACACAATACATCGGGACGCGATGCCTCGGGATGCGATGCGTCGGGATGCGATGCATTGGGACGCGATGCGTCGGGACGCGATGCGTCGGAACACAATGCGTCAGGACGCGATTCGTCGGGGCGCAATTGGTCGGGACGCGATTGGTCGGGACGCGATGCGCCGGGACGCGATGCGTCGAGAATCGATGCATCGAAACGCAATGCTTTCGATGCAATAGGTACAGTGTAAAAATATCAAATATTTATATATTTGTAGAAAGTCAATAAATGCATTACATGTACTCCTAACGACGTATATAATATGTTATGTATATTGTATAGGATAAAATTGTCTAATTAAATTAATAGAACGAATGACTAGTTATTTGAAAGCTCATACATTAAATGCAGGACTTGCGGTGAGCTGGAATGATGATGATAATATTTTTAATTCTTTTAAATAAAAGTTGTCGATAGCATAGTGCCAATTGCATCGCGTGGTGTCACGTCGTAATATTTCTCCCTATGTCACAAGTGTATTCGCTCTTTACATCAGCCCGCATAATTCCACCGTTTTGCATGGGCCTTCCATATCAGGAAGATAAAGATTTCTAGTAACAATAAAATTTATATATATATATATATATATATATATATATTTAAATTAAAATACCCAAAAAAGCTTTTCAAATTAATAAATATATATAAGTTAAACAAAGATTTAAAAATATTAATTAGTTATTTTGTAAAACATAAGAACTTTAAATGTTTATTTAATTTTTTAATATGTGTTAATTTTTCCTGTAACCAATTCATTCTTTTTCTCGCCGTGTACTTACGCTGCCAGTAAAATAATCCATTAGCGTATATTATCCCTTGGATGTCAGGAACAACAGAGGGAAATTATAGCCAAAAATATAAAGCACCACCCTCCTGGTAATAACTCAAAATAATAAAAAGCTACGGTCCCCAACCCGCATGGCGACTATGAAAAATCCCATCAAAAGACCTCTGCTGAAATATCGCTTTTGTTCTGCAATGGTCTTTTGATAGGCTGTGATAAATGAATGATTTCATTTCTAGGTTATGTTGCTTAATTATATTTTATAATTTAGGTTCCTTATAGTTTCACATATTATGTTATGTACTAGCTGTTCCCCTCAACTCCGCCCGCGTGTATATTAAGGTTTTTATTAAGTTGCGCGGAATCCTAATATTTTTTCTTAAATATAAGTAGCCCAAGTTACTCCTTATAACATCAGCTATCTGCCGGTGAAAGTCTGTCGAAATGGATCCAGCCGTTTCGGAGATTAGCCGGAACAAACAGACGGACAGACACACAGACAAAAATTTTAATAATTGTGTTTTTGTTATAAGTACCGTATATTCTTTCGTATGCATTTAGTAAAAAGCTGTTATTTTGACATTAGAAACAGACACTTCAATTTTATTTATTTGTATAGATAATTTAAATTATTTATTTATACATTCTTGTTTGCTATCACTCTAGAACTAAGGTTAACAATAGATAGGTCTTATGATATTCTAGGTCATACAGTGAACAAAAGAACTAAAGAATCTAGTGCTATGCTTATAAATGCTAATTTTATGCTCATGAAACGATGTATGTTCTCTTATTATTTCTCGTACTAGCTATGAGTGGAATAAAGAAAATAATGAAAATGGAAGAGAAAGGAAATATGTGAGTGGAATAATGTGGACGTTGCTATTGTTTATCTTAAGGCCCTCTTATATTACGGTTTGTTTTAATTAAAAAGTTAAGCAAATTCGTACTAAAGAGGGGAGAGTTTTAGACAAAACAATTTACGACCAACCAAATGTTCCATTCATATTTCATGAGATAAAATAAAAATGTGTTCTCAACATGACCTAAAAAATAACAAGCGATTTTATTTGATATAAGTTTACACGGTTTCATTATGTAATCTCTGCAAGGCACACGTTTAAGGGCGACTTCTTGTCATCTTTATGACTTCTTGTCGAGTCAATTATGTTGATTCATATTAGTCTTCTTTTTATGCATCATTTTTATAAAACGATTTTGTTTCTTATTACCTGATATTACGTTATAATAATTACAAGTTCAAAGATTGACCTTAAACAAAAATTATAAGCCGTCTTCATGCTGCTAAGATATGGTGTAGAGAATAATAAAAATGCCAACTTCTGAATGTGAAATTATTTCACATATAGTATATTATTGTTTAGTTTTTTAAAGTCGACTTTTACTATTTGTCAAAAGATTTTTTTTAACTTGAGTGTACCAACGAATATTGTCTAAATAATAACATTAAAATATCATCCCCTATTTCGCTAGGCATAGAATATTAGGCATAGAATTATTTCTCCCAATTTATACTGAACCACTCCTGAAGTATATGCTACTTAATAAAGTAAATAATCAAAATCGGTTCACTATTGACGAACATGTCGCGCAACATACATTATACAAAAAAGTGCAGTTGAATTGTAAGCCTATTCCTTTTTTGAAGTCTGCTAAAATTGTTAAAAAGTTCTGCAACGTCACCTTTAATGTTGTCAATACATGTATTACATTCTATCGATTTTGATTTCATTATCGCGAGCGATTTCAAAGTTTGTGTTTGTTCATATATTTCTCATAACATTAAATTTACTTCCCAAGTTCACGCGCCATTATCTTATTCGGCAGTATTTTCCGCAAAGCGAATTTGAATCGAAGATGTAAATCTTTCTTAGAACTAACGATGAAAGCATTTTCGCAAGGGCGCAGTTGTGGTTTTATTGCCTCATGGGTGATTTATTTATACGAAGTTAGGGTTATAAGTGTACAGAATATTTATATAGACTATATATCTATATCGAGATTAGAATGGCTCTCCAGCACCTTAAAACACAAGCTTCTGAAAACGGGTGGAAGACCGGTACTTGAAGTCCTTCAGAAGCTCTTTAATTCCGTTCTCCATGGTGGCATTACACCGGAGGCGTGGAGCAGAAGTGCGGTGGTCATGTTCTTCAAGAAAGGTGACAACGCTCTCTTGAAAAACTACAGACCGATTTCTCCTCTGAGCCGCGTCTACGTGCTGTTTTCGAGAGTCATTACGAATCGTCTCGCGCGCAGAATTTACGACTTCCAGCCTCCCGAACAAGCTGGTTTCCGAAAGGGCTTTAGCACCATAGACCACATACATACCCTTCGGCAAATTGTACAGAAGTCCGAAGAGTACAATTTGCCACTATGTCTGGCGTATGTGGACTATGAGAAAGCCTTTGATTCCGCCGAAATTTGGGCGGTGGTGCAGTCAGTCAGCGGTGCCAAAATGACTGTCGGTATGTCGACGTGCTGAAGTGTTTTCACAGTAGAGCTACGATGGCTATCCGAGTACAGAACCAGAGTACGAAACCTATCCAATTGCAGAGAGGTGTAAGACAGGGTGACGTTATATCCCCGAAACTCTTCACCGCTGCATTGGAAGACGTTTTCAAGCTTCTGGACTGGAAAGGATACGGTATTAACATCAATGTCGAGTACATCACTCACCTTCAATTTGCCGACGATATAGTTCTTATGGCTGAATCGCTGGAGGACCTAAGCACCATGCTCAATGACCTCAATAGTGTCTCCCAACAAATAGGTCTTAGGATTTTTTTTTTTTTTTTTATAGGATAAGGGTGACAAACGAGCACACAGTCCACCTGATGGTAAGTGGTTGCTGCGACCCATAGACATCTACATCTATCCTCTATTACAAATCAAAATGCAGATGTGTTGTCACCCGTGAGGACTAAGATGGAATGCCTCATTTCCAGTAAAAAGGGCCTCCGGCCACCTGCACTCACCAAGCGAAACGCAGAGATAAACCTCTACTTCATGCTGGTATTCTGTGAGGTCGTGGTACCACCCCGGTTCGAGCCGGCCCATCCGTGCGACAGCAAAAGCTGCCACGTGGCTCTACCACTGTTAAACATATAAACATGGACAAAACAAAGATCATGTTCAATGTCCATGTCACACCTATTCCGGTAGTTGTTGGGAGCACTAAGCTCGACGTTGTTGACGAGTATGTTTACCTGGGACAAATAGTCCGACTAGGTAAGTCCAACTTCGACCGAGAGGTCAATCGACGGATTCAACTCGGCTGGGCAGCGTTCGGGAAACTATGAGACATCTTCTGGTCAGACATACCTCAAAACCTTAAAACGACAACCAGTGCGTGTTGGCAGTGATGACTTACGAATCTGAGACGTGGTCCTTCACTGCTGGCCGTATGAGGAAGCTCAAGATCGCTCAGCGAGCTATGGAGAGGGCTATGCTCGGGGTTTCTCTGCGTGATAAACTTAGAAATGAGTATATCCGCAGTAGAACCAGAGTAACCGACATAGCCCAACGGATTAGTAAGCTGAAGTGGCCGTGTGCCGGCCATATAGCTCGAAGAACTGACAACCGATGGGAAAGAAAGGTTCTTGAGTGGCAGCCTCGTACCGGTAGGCGAAGTTTAGGGCGACTCCCCACGAGATGGAGTGACGACCTGGTAAGACATGCAGGAAGTCGATGGATGCAGGTGGCTCAGGACCGTGCTTTGTGGCATTCCTTGGGGGAGGCCTATGTTCAGCAGTTGACTTATAAAAGGCTGTAATGAAGATGATGATGATGATATTACTATAATATATATTATCAATTATACTGTATTGAAGGAATATATTATTGATAACAAGAAAGAAGAGATTCACAGAATATGAATGGTAAAAAAGCATACAGTCCACCTGATTGTAAGTGTATGCTGCGCCCCATATACACTTAGATCAATTCTTGATTAAGAATCAAAATCTAGATGCTTTGTTACTCTTGTGGATTAAGTGGCTTATTACCACGAAAAAGAATCTCCGGATCTTTACACTAACCATACGTAGCAAAACAGCATTAAGATGTTATTTTACGTTGTTCTGTGAGAGTACAAAATAGCCCCAATTTATGGTGGTAGAGCACAACTTATAAATATTTGACGGTTCTGTAACACAGTGGCTAAAATTTAGGCACGTTGCTTGGAGGCCAAGGGTACCCGGCCTCCAAGCCTGCCTCCAACGATCTGCATTTTGATTATTATTCCAATTATCATCAGGTGGACTGTGTGCTCGATTTTCATCCACATTCAATAAAATAAACTGGCCAAGTGCAAGTCAGACTCGCGCATGAAGGGTACCGTAACATCACACACTTTTCTGGTTTGGGAGCCTCCCA